TCCCGGAGGATTTCATGCACTTCATCTTCCCTCAAGCACCTCAAGTACAGTGAAGTGACAGATTGACTAAAAAGCTTTCCTTCGATCATTGTATACAGAACATCCTTGATTTTGAAATGCCTCGGGTCTGTGACTTCCTCGGATATCTTACCAGTCTCCAAATAAAGGATCTATGGACGTATCCAAATTTTTATTCTTTTGACAGATACTTCCATCATCTCGGGCTCATCAATCGTCGGTCGAAGAAGTCTCTAAGGCGTCCCGTTTAGACACGTGTTTCGAGAAGATATCTGCGACGTGATTTTTCTCCTGACTGACATGTTTGGTCCGAATGTTTCTAAATCTTCCAATCTCCTTTGTCTTGACGAGGCACTTTTCCATCGATTCATTCTTGCTTCGAATTCCCCTTTGACTTGTCTTACAACCAACAACGAGTCAGACTTCACAAATAAATCTTGAGCGTCTATTTCATACGCCAGCCGAAGTTCAACAGTCAACGCTTCATACTCTGCTGATTATTTGTGACATCAAACTCCACCGAGACCAACTGATAGAGGTACTCTCCGATTGTACTGCTTAATGTCATTCCTAAGCCAGCGGTTCCCTGTTTCAAAGTTCCGTCGATGTGCAAAAATTCACGTTCGATCGTTAACTGAATGTCCTTTGACCGATCTTCTGCTCAAAAAAGTCTGTCAAGAAATCAGTGATTGCCTGGGCTTTATTGACCGTTATGGGAATGTAAGTTATATCAAACTCACTGAGTTCGGTCGACCATTTCAACAATCGACCGAAATGCTCTTATTGTGCAAATACCTACTTAAGCGGGTGATCAGTTATTACTCGGTTCAGATGCATTTGGAAATGTAATCAGAGCTTGCGAGCAAAAATAATGCAAATATTAGTTTTTCATTGATTGGGTATCCGGTTTTGGCACTTTGAGGACTCGACTGGTGTAATAAACTTGGAACTGTTTCCATGCCTCTTCCCTAACAAGTACTGAGCTGACAGCCTCTCGCCCGACTCCGAGGTACAATGATAGTTCCTCTTTTGGTTTTGGACGTTGGAGTAATGGGGGTGATGCCAAAGAATCTTTCAAACTCTCAAATGCTTCTTCATATTTGGCCATCCACTCAAATCGTTGATTTTTCCTTAGTGCTATGAAAAATATTGTGCACCTGTCGCCAGATCTTGAGATAAAGTGTTTCGGGGTGACAACATATCTAGGACCATTTGTACTCTTTTTGTGTTGGCTTTTATTCATTTGGAAGTCAATAACAATCCTAAGAATTTACCGACTCACACACCAAATATACATTTTAGTGGTTTCAATCTCATATTAAATTTTATGAGTATTTTGAAAGTTTCTTTTAGATATTTATATGTGTTCGGCCGGCTTGCTTTTAACTAAAACTTTATCCACATACACTTCAACATTTTTCCTTTATGTTCTGAAAAAATTACGTCCATGAGGCGCTGATATGTCGCCCCAACATTTTTAGCCCAGAGGGCATTACATCAAAACAGAAAATGCTCTGCACGGTGATAGAAGTGGTCTTCTCTGCGTCAGCTAGATGCATCTTGATCAAGTGGTAGCAAGAAAAAACATCAAGGAAACTCCGCACGAAGTATTCGACCGCCGCATCCACCAGTGTATTAATCTTTGGCAATGGATAAATCTTCTTCGGGCAAGTAGCATTGAGGTTGGTGAAGTCGACACACATCCTCCACTTGTCGTTGGGCTTTCAAACCATCACGACGTTTGAAAGCCAGGTTAGGTACTGGACCTCCCATATATACCCCGCTTCTTCCAGCTTCCATATTTCTGTGGCGATCGGTTCTGCAAAGGTTCTGACTGTCGACATGATCTTTCGTTGCACCGGTCAAACGATTAGATTGGCACTTAATTTATGCAAAACAACTTATTTACACTCCAGGCATTTCCCCCGATGTTCGAGAAAGGTCTGGATCAGCAAATGCTTATATCCTGCATCAAAGCTATCACTTATTAGAAAAACTTTATTGGGCTCTGTGTCGTCGGTCGCAAGTGTTTTGAGGATGGTCTTACTAGTCTCGAGACCTCCTTCCCTTTGGATCTGAATATAGAGGCCCAGAGGGGCTTGTGCTCAACCCTGGTGACCGCTCGAAGGTGATAGCTTCTGAATTTCTCCATTTTTCCCTAGACTCGAATGATCTCCCCGTCGCTTGGGATTTTCACAACCACGTGAAGCCACTGCTCGGTAGCTGTTTAGTAATGGTCGACCGAAAATGGAGTTGTAAGTCGGAGGTGATTCGATCACCAGAAAGTCTTCCGCATTGGTGTATGCTTTCTCTCTTTTGCTCCACGAGATGCAAAGAGCAATAATACCTAAAGCTTCTTTTCTTTCACCAGAAAAATCGAATAGCAGGCCAACCGGTGTTGTCAATCGATCGATTTTCAGCCTGATCTTATCAAACACTGTCTTAAAGATGATGTTTACCGAACTTCCATTATCCACCAAAATACTACCCACCTGGTAGTTGTTGATCAGAGCCATACCAACAATCATATCATTATAGGGGTTCTTTCTTGATGGAAGGTTTACATTTGTAAAAAAAATTGTGGGATGGTTATGCCTATAAGCAGAAATGGAACATACCTCTCTCTACCAACGTCTATTCTGGCTGGATTGATGGGAAGATTCTCCTCCTCCAAAGATAGTCGGGATGATTCCGCAATGTGGAGTTCATTCGACTTAACTGGTCCGTTGGACGGCTCTTCAACTGGCTCTTTTTCTTATTGCCTCGCTTGTCCCCCGACAACGAGCTTGCCGGCTTTGATGAATTCCTCCACCAAGTTTTGGAGATGTCGATAGTACTCCTCTGTGTCCTGCCTACGATCTCAGTGGTAGTCGTAGTACTTGTTTGGATTATGAAGTGGCGGCGGGGCTTTCCTGAAATACTCCTTATTATGTATGGCTACTACTAGTTTAGCCATCAAGACATTTAGTGGTGGTAAGCCCTGTATTTCCTGATGTACGTGTGATCGCTCATAATACCGAGGCGGTTGCTGGTCATAACTCCAGCTCTGACCCTGATGGCCTTGGCTCTCCCGTGGTTGCTGGGTGTTGTTGCGTGTTGATGACTGAAGGGATTTTGTTTGTCTCTCGCCTCTTTCCTTTGTCCCCCGCTTTCCTCTTCTTCTACCGTGGGCCAGTTGATGCCAATTTGGCTAGGACAGAGTCTGTGAAAGATTCCTTGCCAGCGATATGACTATTGACCATGTCCAAGATCTCGGAAAAGATTTTGGTTCAAATATATTTTGGTTATACTTTAAACGATCATCTCTAACCCCTTTTGCCAGAGCAGTCGGGGCTATCAATGGATAAAAGTTTTGCACTTCTAACATCTCTTCCGCGTTCGTTCTCCCCCTGCTTGATCTACAACTAAGCTTGCGTCTTCTTCTTCGCTTTTTGCAAGTTGACAAAGTGCGCTAGGAAAAGTTTCTTGCACCCAACGAAGGTCAGAATAATTTCGACTGGTAGAGCATGAAACCAGTGAAGGGCTGATTCGTTAAGTGTCGTCAGGAAGAGTTTGGCATTTGATGGCATCGCTAATCTGAAGCATCCTGACCGCGACTCAAAAGAAAGCTAAATGGTATGTTAGATCACTTTTTCCCTGGTAAGGGTTCAGATGAGGGACCCTTAGCTTCACCAATGCTACTGCTTCAAGAATCTGTCTAGTGAAGGTGTTATCAAGGATCGATTAAGCAGGCGCTTCGACTCGTTCCACTTGATTCCTAACCATCAGTGTGAACTGAGTGTTGGACAGTTCCTGGGAATCTCCTTGCCCCTCAGTCGCCTGATCATTGGCCGTCAGATGGGCGCGGGCGGATGCTCTGGGGGAACCCTTTGAGGGCGAGTTTTCCAAGAGCCCACTTCATGAATCGATGGTTGATCTTCTTTTGCATGATTGTTTGGAGAAAGATTTCAAACAGGCACATCATCTGATCCAGTAATTCTTGAACTTGTCGTTGTATTTCTTGGACCACCGATTCTTTATTGAATTCCATCTGCGTCGTGTCCCTCTGTTGTGTTTCTCCTTCGTAATTCGCTTCGCTTCTCGTCTTGGACATGCCCACACTCACTGAACAACCTTTTAGGAGGTTGAATTCTGGATTGTATTTGAGAACACGTTTTGAGAGTTAGAGCTGAGAGGAGAGCAGTGAGAAGGAGAGAAAGATCAGAAGTGTCAAGAAATCCTCGAATGTCAGAACCCATACGATTGAGGATTCCAAAGTGAAAGAATCAAAAGGTCCCTTTATTGTCATGACCTCCTATTTATAGGGGTCCTTGGATATAATTACATACAAGGAAAGAGCAGTTTCTATAACTATCTCAATGATTGTATAAAGATTGCATAGTAATGAAAGTAAAAGCTGCCGTCTGGTCGATCTAAAGTCCTGGGGTCGATCGGCTATGTCGGTCTTCTGCAGGATGTGTACGTCAGTCAGCTGTGACGGTCGACCGTAGGTCAGATTTCTCGACCAAGACGTGGGTATTCGATCGGGGCCATTCGATTACCAATTTTGTTGCTCGGAATATTCTCTCGACAGGAAACTTCTCCAACTGGAATACTATTTTGATTGATTGAGCTACAAATTTGATCGACTACTTACTACAAGTTTTTCTGTCTTGTCATCCAGAACTTTGTCTTTGTTGCTCAGAATATTCTCTCGACAGGAAACTTCTCCACCTGGAATACTATTTTGGTTGATTGAGCTACAAATTTGATCGACTACTTGCTACAAGTTTTTCTGTCTTGTCATCCAGAACTTTGTTATTTTCAATTAAATATATATTAGCCGCATGTTTCTCGCATCCCCATTTCTCACGTACCTCGAATTACCATATATTGCATCAAACTTCGTGTTATGAATTCACATGTTGGGACTCCGGCAATATTACTGTTAATACATGAATTCACGTGATATAATATCTAAATAAGTTCCAAATCCCTTCCAGGGCCTGAGATTGTACCTCGACACTTGTGCTTCTCATCGTAGGGCTGACAAAGAAAGCGGGGAATCGTTCAACGTCGACCATGCAAGCAGAGACGCCTGGCAAGCTGCGTATAAAACAATCGCAGCCGGTGCTGCGCTTGTTGTAGGCCTCAGCATGGTTGCTTACTTGAAGAGATCCGGTGGCTCATCATGACATGAAGTAAATAAAAAAATATACAAAAATAATCATACAATCATATAATTAAATGGGTCCACAAAAATTCTCTCCTAAAAAAATTGCAAGACATCATGCTCAATTAGACAAAGTGGACCCCAAATAATTTTTAAATAAATATATTTGAATTTAGCACGTGATGCATGTACAGGAAAGTTTTAATTTAAGGATGTTACATTATTGTTCATTTGAGGATTAAAAATATAATATTATTGTTTATGTTGACCAGCATTGGTCTGTCTTATATCATAATTTTCGGATCACCACGTTTTCTTTGTGACTTATATAATTGAAAGTAGTTTATGACTTGTGATGTAGTGGCAGTACATAATTAAGTTGATATTTTTGGGGCAGCTTATAAGTGCGGGCGGCGTTTTGAAAACGCGCGTTTTCAAAACGCCGTCGTTCCGTTTGGTTCGCGCGTTTCGCCAGCTTATCCGAAATTGCGTTTGGGTTTTTACACTAAACGCGGGCCGTGGGTAGGCCGCAGGTCGGCCCCTGCGGCCGGCCCGCGGGCCAAGTTTCAGGATAAACAGCTTATCCTGAAACGCACTAGCTGCCCCAAACGGACCCTTGTTAGGTCGCCTTTAGATTTGTATTAATTTTATTAACATTGTATAATAAACTAAAAAAATTTGCTCTCCGTATACTTAAATACTTATGAATATTTTTGTATTATTTATATATCTGATATAATACTGTTTTTGTAGTAGTTTTAGAAGTTTTAAGGAAATTTTAGGTTTTAAAAACTTAAATAGTCGACATCTCTTATTTTTATTTCGTCATCATCTGCCTTGAATTTTTGTTATAGTTATCTGATTTATTAGATGCAAAACTTGGTAGTTTTTCTTCACAGATGAAAATTTCATTTTTAAGGAGGAATTAATAAATGGGGATCATGAGAGAAATAAGAGAAATAATTATTATTTTCTTTAAGAGGCAGTTGTTTTAAAGGAATTAATTTTCATTTTTTTTATTTTTTTAAATTATTTTTGTGTGATTTGATGGAGAAAAATTTGCGTACGTAAGACGTACGCGGGGCTGCGTACGTCGGAGGTTATTGAGAGGGTATTGGGGGGGTTATAGGTAGGTTGCATCCCCTGAAATTTCTTTGTAATCTAATTATAACCCCTCAATACCTTCTGAATAATCTCCGATGTACGCAGCTCTTATGTATGCAAATTTTTCCTGATTTGATGAGCCAGGCAAAGGCGGTCTGAAAACTTGGGCATCAATTCAACGCTGCAAGTTGGTTTTCAGGTGAGCGGGGTGTGACCAACAGAATTTGAGTAATGGGATAGCAAACTTATGATTTTTTTTATGCAATAATAATATTAGTAATAGTAATTATTATAATAAGAATATAATAATTTTTAATTAAAGATATATTAGTCGCAAGATTTAAAGCTAAACATGATTTTTCTAGTTCTCATTGCAATGCTGACAAAGGAATGATGGAGTTGGTTGTCATCGACCATTCTAGAAATAAGGGATGGTTACATGCAGATCATTCAAGATGCATTGATCAAACATTTGAGAATTTGATAAGAATGTAAATATGGGCTGTGATATTATCCTGAATTTTGATTGTTGAGTGAGAATTTGGAAAAGGAATGGAAGATGGCGTTGGATTTGTTAATAACAATATTTTTGAGTGATGTGTATGTAATTATCACTTTATTAAATTGGTCCATAAAAATTCTCTCATGATAAAAATGTGTGATTGATGCATCATCGATAAATTTTTATCATTAGACACGAATCTTGAAATTTTTTGTGCTCGAAACATTTTTTATTTAAATTCAAGATCATCTGAGCTTTGTTTTAAACAAATTTATAGTCAAACTGAGCGTCTCGACTAGGTAAAATTAATCCTATCCGAGTTCAAATTAGCTTGATCGAACACTTAGAGGATTTGATGCATCAATTGAAAGGCAAATTAAAATTTTGCATGCTTATGGTTTTATCAAACATCCCGAATAGAGGAATCCAATAAGCACATAAATATTGAAAGAATTACCTATGATCAATGAAATCAATGTGAACTGTCCGATGAAGTGTTTTATGATTAGTCAAATTTACTAAAATGCTCCGCTTAAAAACTATAAAAGGATCCTAACACCCTAAGTCTAATAACATGCATCCCTTACCATGAGTAAGGTAGCATCCTAAAGTGCTTATGAAATTATTATCTAATTCACTATTATTATTAATATTTTTATTTTGACCACACACACACACACACACACATTTGATTCAACTAACCACAAACCTTTATGAAAGCAACACAGATAAGAAAACATTATATTGGTTAATATTTTTATTTTGACCACACACACACATGTCTAACTTTAAGGGGATTTAATTCTATTTTTGATTCAACTAACCACAAACCTTTATGAAAGCAACACATATAAGAAAACATTATATTGGATTGTGTTAATGAAAATTTGAAAAGAACTTGAAATTAATTTAAATTTACTTTTTTTTTTATTTTGAAAAAAGCACGTATATATTAAAGATCTATATTGAATATGGGAATATTTGGATAATCTGAAAAAAAATGCCAAAAGTTTTTGAAATATTTAAATTTTGAAAGAGTTTTAAGATAAAATTAAATAAATATCAAAATATTTTCTATTGGATCATGATTTGTATTATTGTTAATATTCTTATTTTGACTACACACACACATATATATGTATATATATATACACACACGCCACCTCACAGATGCATGAAAATATGTATCAGTTTTTAAAAAGTTAAAAATTAAAATAGTGGTATTTTTTATGTGACATGAAAGATTTAGGTGATATAAATGATTAATATAAAAGGTGGTTACAAAATTGGGGAAAGAAAAAGGTTCCCCACTAAAAACAAAAAGAAACACATGAAGTTATAAGGGTTCCTTATTCCACATTACAAATTCATTCAAAAAAGAGAAAAAAGAGAAGCAAAAAGATATAATATCCCCAAAATTACATGTATCCCAACAAATAGTATTCCAATCCAAAGAAGTATACCCCATATTAACATGTAAAAAACAATGCAAAATCAGCTGTGAGAGTTGTAAAACCAAAAAATCCTCATCCAAAGTAGCCGGAGTCCGAACCGAGAAAAACAACTTACAGAGCATCAAAAAGGCGAGATAAACACATCTCAAAGCCTGTGAGAATGACATATAAAGAAAAACAGATGCAAACTGGCGCAGAGCATTAAGAGTGTAATCCGTAAAAGCCAGATCTCATAGCTGCTGTAAGAAAAGTAAAAATTGAGGCATACCCGAAACAAGAAGAGATTGTACTCATATTTGTTGAAAGGTTGTGCAGGGAGAATCATAAAATGGAGCCATGGGCCTCCAAAACAAGAAGGAACTAATGCACTCGAAATCCCTTAAGGGCAGTGTGGGGATAGTAATAAAATGGAGCCATGGGCCTCCAAAAACTTATGGGGGTCTGTGGTAGAAGGTGTAACCACTGATCATGCAGAGTGTGGGCAGAGCATCTAAAATAAACATCAGGTAACCTATCCCAAGGCATTAAATTTGAAAATAGCACAAGCCAATCCCCATAATGAAATCTGACCCCACTAAACAATGGGAGCATGTTATAATCACCAGATTCATCCTCATTTGATACAGTAACACATGGAAGAAAGGAGTAATAGAGAGCCATTAATGCAGAGAGAGTGAGGCTCAAAATATTAGGGCAAAGCCAACTGCAATTGACTAGCTCAAATCTCAGTAAGTCATTAAATTTCCCAGCAACAGTAAGCACAAAGTAAATAAAACAAGTCCAGTGCTCCTGGGGCCAGTAATATAAATCCAACTGCTCTTTACGGGCTCAAAATGAAGCAAATTGTTAAGATTTCCAAGAACAGTAAGCCTAAAGCTATTACAACATACTCCCATCTTCATAAAGCGTTCATAAAGCTATTAAGATTTCTTCTTGTTCCGGGCTCTCTAATATCAAATTCAATCAGAGAAACAGTGAGTCTCACTAAGAAGCTTCCAAAACTAATTAAACCTGTTCTTTATAGAAAACCACGGGACAAAACATATGAGCTAGATACAAATATAAGGAGCCTGAAGATCACTTTGTATAAGTATATTGAGAAAGGAAGGGGCATCATTACCAACCAGTACCTTTGTAAGCCCAAATATGGCAAACCAACCCACGAGACTATTCCCTTCACGATGTATGAAACTGTATCGTAAAGGAAGTTGGTATGTATGTATAAGATGTAAAATATGCTTCATCAAAACTTTAAGATGCCAATAAGGAGCCAAATTCTCATTTAAAATTTTAAATAAACTTTGGGAATTAGTTTCCAAGATCAACCTAGAAAGGTTAAGAGAAACTGCCACTTGCAAAACTGCAAGAATAGCCCTGGCCTCGGCTTCCAAAGGGGAGGTAGCAATGCAAGGGGAGGCAAATAAGACCAAACATTTTCCTTTGGTGTCCTGAAATAGACCACCCAAACCAGCAACACCATTAGAAAAGCTTCCATCAATGTTAACCTTAATCCAACCAGAAGAGGGTGGTGACCAACTAACTAAGGTTAGTCTCCAGCCACTCCGGAGAGAAAGGGTACAACTAAAGGCACAACAAAAGGCACCAACAACTCTTATAGCTTTAAAATAGTGAGCCAAAGTAAAGGAAATAGTAGTAAGATAGTAAGAATAGTAGATCCATCATCATGATATTTATGGCTATTTCTAGCAATCCATATGAACCACAAAGTGGTAATAGGAAAGTAAAAAAAATTGTTGTGAAAAATACCAACTTCTTTCCAAGTATATAGAATACTTTCCAAGTTAAAAGGAGCAAGCCAAATTATACCAAAAAATTCCCAACCCTCTCAAAAGCCGATAGAGCAAATTGGCAGACAAAGAAAACATGTTGAGGCGACTCAGCCTCTTTCTTACAAATATAATAACAAGAAGCCATCCTCAACCCTTTCATTTTCAAAATTTCATCAAGAGGGAGAAAATGTTTTAGAAATCTCCAAAGAAAGAAAGCAATGGAGGGGGAGAGATATTTGTGCCATTTGTAAGGGCTCCACTTCCATTTTTTAATGTTGTAAGTGTGAGAATATAACATTTTAGTGATAGATGTGTTTGAATTAAATTTTCACATAGGTACATCTTTAATGTCAGCAAATATATGAATTTTAGCAATGGAGTTCGCCTCCTCCCCAACCAAAGAAATGAGCTTAGGCAAATCTCAGATTCCATTCAGCCACAGATCA